TTTTTTTTGAGAATTGAGGTCAAGACGTGGTTCCGTATTTCTTCGACGTGTTACAGAGGCGCAGTTTATTATCGTTGGCATCTTATATATCAGTTTCAAAAATTTATGTCATGTAAAAGGCAAATGTCGTAAAACATCGTTATCTCGGTTATCTCAATGGGACGGTTTGAATATAAATTGCGGTTTGAAGCATGGTTTTATGCAAATGTTTTACTGAATTGCGTTTTCTTATAAAATTTATCTCAACGTAATGAATACACATATAAAATTAAATCTAATCTAAAAATATTTGCATATTAATGCATTATAATGCAGAAATTGTTGAAATGTTGCGGAAATTTGAAGAAAAAGTTTATCTGCGATAATACAGTCGTTATTTATAGACACGATGAGTTAAACGAGCTTCATTTTCTAGTCGGGACAATACGCCAATCTCTTCCCTTTATCAATGACCCGCTGTGACATCACGGTCGCGGTATATTCTACTCCGATGAGAGAAGATCAGGAACATGCCACGTGAAATTTCGTCATTGGAAATCATCGAGCGACGAATACGGCTCGTTTATCCCAAACGGAGAAAAAATGCTTTTGTTCGTTTATTCAATTCGCCCACAACTAGAAGCGTATTCGAGTTTTATCGATTTATCAAGAATTATGCGCGCTCTCGAATACGGCTTATTGTTCGCAACGGCAGTGATGATAACAAACAAAAGCATAACAACGATAAAACAAAACTTCTTAGTAATAAAATGATTAGAATATTGGAGGTCCTTCCGCTGTATAAAATCCTCTTTCCTAAATTTATGAGAATTACGAGATAAATCTTATTATTTTTAGATCAAAGAGCTTCTATTCTTCTTATTGTTCTTTTACTTTCATCAGAAATGCAGTACGGATAACGAGAATTATTGGAGCTAAAGAAAAATTGCATGATAAATGAGATCTTATTTAACAACAGTTATGTATAGCAGTGTCTCTTGAATAAATTTTATATATTTTTTTTTTTTTATCAAGATTAATCATTAATCATATTATTATCTTTTTATCTGTGTGTTACATTTCTCAATAAATAATAAAACACGTTTGAAATAAGCCTATATTACATCGATTGAATAATATGTAATTTATCTAGTAATCTATACGGTGTGTGGAAAAAACGCATAATTGAAAGAAAGAACGATTCTCTATTCGTGTTAAATCATGGAATTTGAAAATTGAGATTTACATTTCTAATATCGCGCTTTATTGACGCAAAATCATTAGTGTCGAGCGCAAATAGAAGGCGAGAGAGAAACGCAGCATCTCGAAATGAAGTCAATCAGCATTCAATCTCAGCAACGATTGACCTTACGATCAACTAATAGCTGTCTAGCTCGCCTGGATTTTCGATTTCGTTTAGTTTTCAGTTGACGCTCGGCCATTTGATGAACCTCGACAGCCAGAAAATGTTGTTTGGTGCTAGTTTTACTATGCTAACAATTATTTGCGCTGAAAACTCCTCTCTTTTTTACTTTCCTCTACTGTTGATGTCGATGTGATATTGAGCAACTTTGGAAAATATTATATTACCTACTATATTTCCCGATCAATATCTCTGTAATTTAGCAACAATACAAAGGAATAAAAAAAAAAAAAAAAAAAAAAA